CAACACCTGGCATTGGAGGGTCGTGGTCTCTTTAACATATCCTACAGCAGTAACAGCAAAGTCCTTAAAGACAGTCTGCTCTTCACTCATATGTCACATAACAGCAGGACTGAGCAAATGCAGTCTCCATCATCATTGTGCCATTCAGAGTGAACACTGAACATCCTGCAGATATTTACTCACCTGTGATATCACTTTACCACTTTGATGTTGTTATTTCTATCTGCATATACTGATTGGTTGTTCTGAACTCATCATATGTGCTAACACCATCAAACTGTCTGCTCCTCTTTGTGCTCAGCAGAACGATGCAGACCAGGTGCCGTCAGGGCCGTCCTTTGTGGTCGTAGTTGCCATTGACTTCGGCACCACATCCAGCGGTTATGCTTATGCCTTTGCTAAGGAACCAGAGTGCATTCACACCATGAGGTAGGCTGATGCTGCAGTGGGAACTGAGGTGGACCGTGATGGTGGGCTGGTGGTGCCCTGAACTTGATCAGTTCGGCTGTGAACAAAAATTAAAAACAGTCTTTTATCACCAAGGCTGAAGGAAGATGTTCGGGCAGTAGCTAATTGGACATGTGACACAGAAACGTGTCAGCAAAACAGACAAAAGAAGGAAGAATATAAACTTGAAGTTACTTTTTAATGTTTAATCGACTGGGCAAATAATTTAAAAGATTCATTTCATGATGAACATCCAGCATAAAGGTGAAAACATTGCTTTTGTTTGCCTGCTGGAGTTTAATCTGTGAGACCTCTGGCAGGCACAGAGGTCCTGGAGCTGCACAGGGCACTGGCTCAGCCCAGGCAGCGCTGACACCGTTCCCCAGGGGCTGCCTGGCCTCTGGGGAGGCCCTGCAGTGAATAACTGTACCTAAAGCAGCTAAGTTGTGAGAAACACCCTGGGTGGGAGTGAGATTTTCTCCTGGATAGAGATAATGGATGGCTGAGAGGCGCCAGAACTGGAGATTGAGCTACAGGTAACAGGGACACTGAAGACTGAGCTGGAGGCTGCTGGGCAGCTAACTGAAAAACCCATGATTAACGTCTCTGTCGCTCACCACAGCCGGCTTCAGAAGTCTCGGGGTCTAGCTGAGGCGAAGGGCGTCGGCGGCATGATCGCCACTTCCCTTTTGAAAGCTGGACCGACGGGCCGGGCGGAACGTCCTCCGGCGGGCTGGTCGGTTTGTACTGTCACGGCTCGCGGGCTGAGCCGTGTGGACCCAAGATGCTGGCAGCTGAGATGCAGGGGGATTTTATTGAAGGTGGAGATACAAACAGAAACAGCGAGGGCGTGGAGGAATCCAAGCAAAACCTAAACTGGAAAAAACTAACAAAACAAACCTGAAACGTTAACTGGAGAGCCGAGGAGAACAACATAGGAACACGCAGGCAGATACACAGGGAGACGGAGGGAAATCACGAACCGGCAGCAGCCTGGAGAACACACAGGGCTTAAACACACACAGCAGTAATCAGGGGAGACAGGAGGGCAACACAGCTGGGAGACGTCAGAGCTGACGGGGGAAGTGTAAACCGAACACACTCACAGACCTTCAGAATAAAACAGGAAACTCACAGAACCAGACACTGAACTTAACAGATTCACAAGCAGATGGACAGACAGAGGGAACACAGAAGTGTGAGCACAGAATAACTCTGGGAAACAAAACCTAAAAACAAGGACTCAGCTGTACTACAAAACTAGGGAGAAACACTAGGACAGAAACCAGAACACAAACACTCACAATTCAGTGTTTGTGTACAAAACCCAAACACACTGGGTCACCGAACCAGGACCGTGACAACAATTGTGCCGATTAGTTGGCAAGTCGACTAGTAACGCACAGCCCTAATATATAGATGTATATGTATATATTTATGTCTGACCTTAAACAGGAAGTCACCCAGGATTTTCATGTTGGTGCCCAAACCAGCTGAACTGGCTCCTTGTCATGTGGAGGAGCAGCTCGACTCTGAACCCCTCACTCTGTCTCTGAGGGAGAATCCACCCTCCAGAGAAGGTTTGCTTCTGCTGCTTGTATCCATGATCTCTGTCTCTCACTATACGAAGCTCGGATGCTTGTGCTCTGTAATTGGCAGCTAACTATTTGTGCCCTCCTCAACAAGACAGACTGGGAAGACTGGGAACATTGTACAGGGATCGTAGCAACGTGCTGGCCATCCCATACTCCCAAAGCACACCCCTCAGGATACTCTGAGGGATGTTGTCGAATGCCTTCTCCATATTAACAAAACACATGTAGACAAGTTGGGGAATCCCCCTTAAATATCATTTTGAACCCAATGTTCCAGAAACTGCTGTTCCTCTTGTATCCAAGGTCAAACAAACTCCTCGGCATAGACTGTTCTCAGAGAGGCTTAGCGTCCGGTCCCCTGTAGCTGGAGCACAGACTCCGGGCCCTTATTCAAAGATAGGAACTATCACCCCAGCCTGTCAGTCCAGAGACACCGCTCCAGATCTCTTATGATACCATCACTGTACGTTTAGGTCTGTCTGACTCGCCCCCACCACCTGATCCAACACCAGCAGGTGTCTTGATGCATGCTCAGGTCTGTGCATGTGGGAGAAACGTTTCGTCACTCATCAGAGGGACTTCTTCAGTGGCCAGTCTTTTAGTGCTAAGGATGTGCACATCCTGGAGAGGGAGGAACACTGGAAGACGCTTGGATGACTTTCAGCTTCCTATGAAAACTTCTTACCCAAGACCAGTTTGTCTTGGGGAGACCCGACCAGGTCTCGGGTGAGTCCTGTACTCAAGGTCAAGGTCAGAGGTTATGTTCTCTGAAAATCCTGTGACTGTGACAGCTTAAGCAGGAAGTCACCTCGGATTTTCAAATTATTCTATACGTGCATGTTTTAGCTTAAAGCTTTAGAAGCACAACTTCATATTAGAAAGTTATAAATATGTCTGGATACAGGATTGTCAGCTTTGAAGCAAAGCCGTGGAAAACTAAGACATAATAAATTCATTTCATTGTGTGTTAATGAAATATTAAAAGTAACAATACGGAGTTTTATTGATGGTGGGGTCGTAACTCCACAACAACACCCTGAAATGTTTCAGTTTAATACAAAGATGTTGAATGTGCCTCAAAATTACCAAAAAAGAAAGAAATAAGAGAGCTATACGTGAAAGAGAATAAATCCCCAAACTTGATAAACAGTTAAAAGTTCAGATAAAACATTTACAAAAACATTTTAATTCCTTTTAAATGTTAAATATCTTCTGCATCTTTTTTTCACAGCTCTTGAACTTTTACGGGCTTCCTGATCTTGTCCTTGTAGCTGTAAACTGTGATTTCTGTTCAATTTCTCTTTTATTTGATTATGTTATTCTTGCTTTAAGTAATTGATATTACTGAGTATTAAGCTATTAGTATTTGAATGGAGCTGTTTGTTGAATTTAATTGGATTAAACAGAGAAGCCTTTAATGAGGTAAACTGGAGGCAGTGATCACTTTTAGTAATCAGATACATATTTTAGCTTGTTTACCACATAATTCAGGATGTGTCACTGGATACGCAGAGGTCGAACAAAACAGTACAGAAGAAATCATCACATGTGACATTACCATCACGTGAGGGGAGGCTCGATGAGTACGGGCAGACGTTTTGTTGGTGTTCTGGCTAAAAAAGATCAAATAGGCTTCTGTGAATCTATTTCTACAGTCGTAACCACAACTCTGCTTATTACACAAAGAGATACAAAAGTTTTATTTTTCTGACACTTAAAAATCGAAAACACCAATAAAATCCATTTTGTGAAAACTAAAAATAAATAAATAAAAAAACGGAGCAGTTTTCACCTTTGAGGACTTGTGTTGGAATAAAACCTCTAAAGTCCTTGACTTAGAGACACAGTAATTATTGCATTGTTTAAAACGGTATCCCTGTATCACGAGAGCCGTGACAGCTGAACAGCACTTTGTCTCGACTCGTCGTCACCAGGGATCGCACTTATTTTTCCAAGCTGCTCCAACACTGCCTGTTGTTACAAACAGCAGATTTGCCATTTTAAAAAGTGTGATCTGTACTTGTAAATGAAAACACCTGTAAGCGTTTAGCTTGGATATGTCCGAAGGCCAAAGGGGAAAAGGCGGAGGCAAAAGCAGACTGAAGAGAAGGTTCACAGGAATGCAATTAATCACAGGTCCAGGGGAGAGACTAGAGTCACTGGCTTCACTAAAACAGGGAAAGAGGTCTAAAATACTAAAGAAAGCGATCGTGGAAACGAGAAGTGTTCACATTCTGATTGTTTTGTGTGATTCTGAGGTGGATGGGCTCAACCTTGGAGGTGCATCAAAGGTCACGCCCTCAAACATGTGACCAAAGACCAACTCCTTAAGGCTTTCCTGGACAAATTTCAAGTTGCTCGGGTCAACCACCTCAAAACTGTACCCCAAAGGGTAAAACATGGCATTTCATGTTCAAAAGTACAGCGGCTGGTTACGGCAAAATCGTTTTAATGAGTTTGTCAGTGTGTTAAATCCTTCAAAAAGGCAGTGAAAGACAGATAATAAATCAGAGTGATTACAATAGGGCCTTCACACTTTAAGGTTTAGAGGCGCAGGAACAATAGGGCCCTGATAACAGAAGTCCTCTGTCCATAAGAGCTGGGTGTGAGTGAGCCAGTGGGGTCATGAGGCCTCAGAGAACTCAACGATTTAAAGGTTTATTTACAAGTTTGCCGTGAGTTGTTGAATGATGCTTAATTCTTCCTGAATAATCAGTCCTTACCCAACATTTGTTTAACAAGTTTAGCTGCTGTATTCACTTAAAAGCAGATTTATTGCACATATATTGATACCTGTCGTTTTTTTCCAGGCGTTGGGAGGGCGGGGACCCAGGTGTATCCAATCAGAAGACACCGACCACCATCCTCCTCACTCCAGACAGGAAGTTCCACAGTTTTGGTTATGCGGCTCGTGACTTCTATCACGACCTGGACCCCAGCGAATCCAAACACTGGCTTTACCTGGAAAAATTCAAAATGAAGCTCCACACCACTGCAGTAAGAACACTGACATTTTACTTCCTAGTCTTTCTGACCACTCGTACTGCTTCACAGTAAGGACAGCCCGTCATTAGCATTATTCTATACATACTACTTAAAATCACACACTAATATACAAAACAGAGGAATTCATTGTTCAGTACTTTGCCCAACACATAGTATATAC